AGGCCTTTGCCACCCTGCGCTGGATGGTGAATCCCAGCAGGCAATGATCACTGTCACCCAGGTGGTCGAGCACCCGCAGCCCCCTCACCAGGTCGTCACCCGTGGCCAGCACCAGGTCCAACAAGGCGTCTACCCTGGTGGGGCTGTGCACCTCCTGGGTTAGATGGAGGTCCTGTATTTTGGCTAGGAACCTACGTGAGCAGTCAGACCTGGCTGATTGCTCTTCCCAGCAGATGTCTGGAAAGTTCAGGTCACCCATGATGACGTCTTTTGACCTAACTACCTTCATGAGCTGACTTAAGAATTCCTGGTCTAGCTCTTCCCCTTGTTTGGGAGGTCTGTAGTAGACCCCCACCATTAAGTCTCTTTCCCTTTGACTGCCTTGTATTCTAACCCAGAGCACTTCAGTGTGCCCCTCCTCTGACTCTGTGCTACCTGGTGATGATGTGTATTCCTGCTTAATGTAGGGCACCACACTCCCACCTTTCCTCCCTGTCCTGTCCCTCCTGTACATCCTCTAACAGAGAAATATATGATCCTGCTAGCACGTATTATAAGATTTTTGAATGAATGAAAAATAGAATGCTTTGGATTTTCTTAAGCATCCTTTATTATAAATTATGGTACTAAAATGGTATAAGCCCTGACAGTTTAAATTATAAATAAACAGAACCAAGTTCTTACAGCCAAAACAAAACCTACCTGAAAAATTATTAAAACCAATAGGAAAACTGTAGTTTAAAATAACTGGTCTAATTTAAAAAAAAAAAAGAAGGTATAAGACACCTATGGCAGACATGTTTGTTATTGCTGTTCTTCCGTTTCCTTTGATTTCAATCCAGTTCATCTGAGTCTTTTATGCCTCTTAATCTTCCCTGTGATCAGTCTAATTTTTCAAATATTGTACCCACTGAAAAATATGCATTTGTGTCTGCCAAAATGTTTGCACATTTTTGTCAAATCTCTCTCTCACTTCTTTCTTTCTTGTATCCCACTGAGGGTTTTCTTGCATTTTTTTTAACAAACTAACTCTGATAGGTTTTCTCACCTCATTTTCACAAGGGAAACAGTTCCTTTTCCCTTACTCACACAAGCACTCTTGCTGCCTTCAATTGGGCTTATTGCAAATCCCTCTACCCTAACTGGGACTGTGTTTCCCTGAACCTCCCACTTATTTCCTCCTCTGCTCCTCTCTTCTGTACTATGCATCAAAAATCCAAAGTTGTTAGCAACAAATAGCCTAATCTTGCCACCCTTCAAAACAGATATGTGTCTTTTTAAAAACATTTGAAAGAGATCAGCATCATGCTACTGGAACACAAGAGATACCAGAATGAAGGCTGCATCCAACCCCACCCATCTGACAGTATAGGGCAGGGGTTTGTTAATGGGGGGTACACATACCCCTGGGGGTACTTTAAAAGGTCCTAGAGGGTACGTGCCGGCAGGCAGGGATGAAGCACCCCTACCCACCACCCCATGTCGCTGCCTCCCAGGAGCCAGGCAGGAGGGCCAAGGGGAGGAAGGGGAGGGCCTCACATATGGCAACTACCGCCACCATCCACCACCTTGTGCCACCCACTGCCTCACGCCACTTTCCCACAGTGAGGCCCATCAGCAGCCCATGGAGCCACCTGTGCAACCAGCTGTGGGAAAGTGGGGTGTGGCTGCAGCTGCTGCATGCAAGCCCTCCCCTCCCCCATGTCCAGCTGCTGCCACCAGAAGGGGTATACTTCTTAAAAAAGGTTGAAAACCCTGGGCTAGGGTGAAGGCTGTGTGTGTATGTAATCTTCCAGTTACATGATTCCAACCAAAACTCAAGTCTGGGTGAAAAAGGGCTTTGAAAATTATGAAGCAATAACAGCAAGGGTTTTTTTTTTATAATACTCTGCTTAGACTGCTAAAACTACTTAGGTACATACTGGATTTTTCTTAATAGGATGCACCAAACCAAATGTCTAAACTCTACACGAAGCTACTGAAGCTGGAACAGGAAACTGAGCTTCTGAGGGATATTAACAGAGCTCTAAGGGAAGAAAATATTTTTCTTAAGGAGCAGCTGAAGAAATGGGACACAGGACACCATGAAAGTTAGTGCAAAATGCTATACAGTTGCATACTCCGTTACAGTTCAGGTATATGTACCAAGCACCACCTGTTCCAGGAGGTTCTAAGAAAATGTTAGTTTAGTTTCATGGCACTGAATTTCTTCTCTGACAAGAGCAAAAGGATGAAATTCCCATTTTTAAACAGCAATGTAAGAATGCAGAATCAACCTTTTGTCTCTATCAGCCTCTGACTGTAGTAATATAATTAATAAAAATTTTGTCTTTCACTTTAGGTAAGAATATGAAGTCACCTCACAAATGGACAATTAAGATGACAAAACCACCTCTCTCATCAGAAGGAACTGACCAGCTGTGCCGTCACCGGACCAGCTATGACAGTGATTTTGCTAAAGCCCTTAAGGTCTTCTATCAAAACATGAATGTAGTAAGAGGACAGTTTCTGAAGCTGAAGCACAGCAAACCCCCCGTATGTCTGATTTTTGAAGTGTTGTTTTAAGAAATGGGAACTGGGCCTCTTCAGATTTAAGATCCTTTTATGTCACCAGCTTTTACTACAGGATTGCAGGTGACATAATTCTTATTTCTTGCAACTATTTCCTTTCCTGCTTTTTGCATTAGAACAAACCTGTTTCCATGAGCTTGTTTGTCAGCATTCTTAGGCTAGGAATAGATGATATATTTACCCCTGGACAAGTTGTGCCCATGTTTATCCTGGACCAGAAATATCCCAGGATTGGCGTGTACACAATTCACTCTTCCAATCAGGGTTTAGTAAACAGATGAATGCACTGCTGCTTTTCTGCCATTAATGAGGTAATCCCAGGATGCACTCTGTGATGTACTGGGATAAACTGTTAGTACTTCTTATCCAATAAGCCTTTTTAGGATTTATCCTGGGACACATTAAAGCTACAAACAGACCTTGCATATTAAGGCCTGCAAGTAAAGTTCAGTATGTTTCCTTGCAATCTGGAATATATATATACCATGTTTTCATAACCCACCATGTAGAAGCTGGTGAGTCACTACTACTAATGATTTGGATGATGGGATCGAATGCACATTTAGTAAATTTCTGGATGAAGCTAAGTTAGGTGGACTTGCAGACACCCTAGAGAGTTTGACTAGGATCCAGAATGGCCTGGATAAACTTGTGAAATAGTCTGCAAACAATCAGCTGAGAGTCAACAAGGACAAATGTAAAGTCCTGCACTTGAGATGAAATAATTGTATGCACAAATACAGACGAGAGAATGACAGGCTAGACTGCAGTACTGCAGAGAAGGACTTGGGAGTTATGGTGGGCCATAAGCTGAACAAGTGACAGGGTGCTTTCATTGTAAAGCAAAGCCAATAGCATCCTGGCTTGTATTCACAGGAATGTTGCTTGCAAATTAAGGTAAGCAATTCTCCCACTCAATTCAGCCCTAGTAGGGCCTCACCTGGCATATTTTGTCCAGTTTTGGCCTCCACACTTCAAGGATATGGACTGTTTGGAAAGAGTCGAGCAAGAGCCCAGAGAAAATATTTATGAAGAAGTCTGGAAAACTAGGGAGAAAAGAAGATTGATGGGGTGGGGTGAGTGGATTTGGTAAGTCTCCAACTACCTGAAGGGAGATTATAGAGAGGATGGAGGTGGGCTTTTCTCTGCTTGTAGGTGGCAGGACTAGGAACAAACAGCCTCAAGATGAAGCAGGGGTAATTTAGGCTGAAGACTAGGAAGAACTTTGTGACTCTGAGGGTGGTTGAGCATTGGAACAGGTGACCTAGAGAAGTTGTGGAATCTCCATGCTTGGAAACTTCAAAAGCAGGTTAGACAGATGCTTGGCTGGGATGTTTTAGTCATGGACCAGATCAACTTGTGAGGTCTCTTCCAGCTCTACTTTACTTTCTCATGCTCCTGCTAAAGCTGTGCTCGCAGTATGCCTCAAGACCCTTTCAGGGGTGCCACGCAATGTTAGGCACACAAGTGTGATTCACAAGATAAACCCAGAGATTTCAAACAGGAATCCACAGTGATGAAGAGCACTCGCTCACCATCTTCCAAAAACCAATCTAGCTCTCCCACCTGCTTTTCTTTTCTCTCCCTTTTGACACCTAGTTAGTTATATGATGTTTGCTAGTTTGCTGAGAGGCTAAAACAACTGTAATCGCAACTATGATTCCAAACTGAGTTTACAATCAAACTTTTACCTGCTACCATCTCTGGATTGTTTCAATTGCTGCCTTAGCAAGCAACCAAAAAGATCCATATGTAGGAAACCTATAAAATGGCATGCACTTCCAATCTAATAATTATGCTCATGAATTTTATTGGTATTTCCAGGTGGAAGATAACTTACAGATGCTGCGTCTTTTTACAGAGAGACAGTCATGTATGTTAAAGGATTTTGGGGAGCAACTTGAATCTGGCATATGCAAGTTGAAAAATGATGTTGCTCTTATAGTTAAGAAGAAGAGAGAGAGTATAGCATACAGCAAGCATTGAGGATTGAATTCATGACCACACGTGAACATGGAGCAACTCTAAAAGACTGTTTGATCATATTAAACTTTTATTATGGGTCAGTTGTATTCATGCAGCCAAAGCAAAATCTTAGAAACTGGCCTTAATATAATCATTCTGAGCTCTACTTTAAACTACTCTGAAGTGAATGATTCAAGAGGATTTCATGAAATCTAAAAAGTCACCATGAAATAATTACTAAAAATCACAGCAATCATTGGAATGAATTAAAAGCTACAATTTTAGTGTACTAGTTTGTCAGTGCATTAAAATATATGAACAAATGTTTGAGCAAATCTTCACTATGGAAATAGGCGGGTTAAGATCTATAACTATTACAATAAGTAATCAATACTTACAAGCCTTTGTATGGTCAATGTCATCTCATTTACCTTATTTTGGAAAGCCAAGCAGCACAACTTTTATTGTTATTACTCAGAAAACTTATATAAAAGATTAAAGATGACTAAATATCTTCAAATTGTAGCCAAGGTGCTAACATATTAAAAAAAAATTGACCAAGGCTGCTGTCTGAAACATCTCCTACATGTAGCTTTCCTATGTACTATTTTACTAAAATGACTTGTTGTCAATTAACAGTACACCTGCTCCAGTTAGTTGTTAGTTTGATCCTAATTGAACTACATTAACTTACTGTCAGAAGAAATAGTTGTTTTTTTCTTTGACTGACATACCCATTGTTTTCATTTTTCAATAAAGTTGGCTCTTCCTAATACTAAAACTACCACAGACATGTTTATTAAGAAATGGAAGCCAGTCATATATTGAAATAAGGATATTAACATCTTTCAGCTGAAAGACAGCATAGTAAGCAGTGTCTTCATCCCAAATAGTCATTAGTACTCAGCCACTAGTTTGATTAGCTAAGGCACTTTACTGTTTAAAATAATTATCTAGACTATTCTTATTTTGTAAGCTCTTGGTCAAACTGATAATTAAGCACTGTTTCTTTACTGCTTCTGGGTAACTTGAAGCTTATTCCAGAACTGCATGTTGGAAAGGTTTGGAAATTCCTTACAGAGATCCTATAAATAGTCATACCCTAAACACGCACATAAGCCTGTTACCTATTTCATGATGTATAAATATTTATTTTGACTTTTAAGTAGGTACCAAATCAGCAATTTCCTTAGACAAATCTATCCCATGGGCTGTACCAATTCTTTTAAAATAAGCTGTTCCACCATACTGATTTCTGTTCCAGTATAAGCAACAGTACACAGTCTGCATTTATGAATGTCACTGATTTGTAAATATTTTTATTGATTTACACAGAGCTGTCTTGTTTAGATTTTACATCCAAATATACTTTTTTGGTACCTTAGAATTAAACCACAGAAGTTGTTAGTTCATGCAATTTTAGTTTTCCTTGGAATTATTTTGCAACTTCAGACTTCAGGCTTGCTAATAACAGAGAACTCGATGCCCCGTTTGTTGAGTCGATCGATCAGTTTTGTTTTAGAGAAAGCCGCTCCTGGAGTATAAACACCACCTCTGTTAACAACAAAGGAATTAGAAAGCCATGAATATGTATTTTATTCAATCATTGGTGTAATCCATGATTTTAATCTCAAAGCTCAAATGATGGGACTGAATTTTCAATGATTCCCTGAACAAGTATTTGCCCTGACTATAAAGAAGAGAACACAGGATTCTCAGTGTCCTTTCAGCAGGCTGAGAGACACTGGGTGCATTTACACATCTAACATGACGTAACAAACTCCAGAGTAGTTCAAGCCAAAGTCAAATGCTTCCAGGTACCGTGTCTATAAACACGCCCAGGACAGCAGCAATTTGAGCCGCAGAACAGGCCCCCAGCTGGCTGGGCTCACCAAGCACAACGTATGCCTGCAGTCACGTGCATTTTGGCACACTAAAGTACTTTGCTGTAAGAGTAGCATCAAATGATTAATATATAAGGGAAACAGGGACTCACTGTTTAGGAAGAGAACTTCCATCCTTCAGAAGCGTCACAGCTGCCTGAACTAGTGCTATTGAGGTAGCAACATAGCCAGCATCTGCAAAAAATAAAAACAAAGCCATTTTTTGAAAGGGAGGTGCACAGAATTTCCTCTGGCATAATGGGGGTGTGCCTATATCAGATTAATTCTATTGTGTTGTGTGTGTTAAATACACATCTGGGAATGTTCAGAGGAAACCTATTATTCTATGGTTCAGAGACTGCCCTGCCTGGCAGAGCTGTTCAAAAGGACTATCACTCAGAAGTCAACAATTCTGCAGTCTAGGCAACTAGGTGTCTCTTAACTGGCTCACCACCATGGAATGCTGATCATTCTCCAGAAACCCACTAGTTGGTTTGGAGCTTCCTAAATGGAGCACATGGCAGAGATGGTGAACCAGTGTGCAGGAGACCAGCCACTATCACAAACGCGGAAGGACCTGCAAAAAGAAAGGAAGCAGGATGGACTGATATGATGAACAACTACGGACTCCAGGGGTGGCCTCAGACAAAGGGATGGTGCTTCTCGGGCATTAAACCTGAAAATGTTTAAGACAGTCCTTTCAAAATCTGTGTTCCTTGCTTTCCTGCTACATTACTGAACAAGAAGCCCAGAGTGTTCACAACCTGTGTGAAGTTCTGGAGGACTCAGTCCTGAGGCACTGGCTTCTGAGTGCAGAGGTGTTTTATCTGCTATATCTGATGGTTCAACAAAGGGTATCAGACAAGAGATCCGACCCCACCAGCACGCCCTAGAGCAGGGCGGACAATTATTTTGGGCGGAGGGCTGCTTACTGAGTTTTGGAAAGTTGCCCCACCCCTTGACAGGTGCCGCACCCCAAGGTCCCCATCTTGGGACCTGAAGTCCTACCCCCTAACCGCTGACCTTTGCCACCAAAAGCCCCTGCCCCCAGCAATACTCCTTTTGGCAAGCTTTGCCATAAAATACCAAATTATATTATAAAAAGCAAACGTCTACAACATTTGTTAATTTGATTTCAAAAATATTTTTGTCCCGATTTACATGTTTATATAGTGTACATAGAGGTGATCACACAAAAGCTTAAAATGAAATCTTACTCTTGTAAACTGTGGGAGGCATAGGGGATGGATACAGGTTTGTGGGGGGCTGTGTGGGTATGTGGAGGAGGGTGTGGGGGGGAGTTTGTGGATAGGCATGCAGAGTGTGGGTGCATAAGTGGGGTGTTGTGGGTATTGGGGGGTCTGCAGTGACACTCTACACGCGCGCGCGCGCACACACACACACACACACTGTGCTTTGCCCCACAACATGTGCTTCCTCCATTAGACCCACACTGTGTTTTCCCCACTACACCCACACCATGCATTCCTCCCCCTCCCCATCTACACACGCACACAGACACACACTCCTCCCTCCCGCTCCTGGGGTACCAGCGGGACTGTGCACAAGTGGTCCAGCAATGCAGTTGTGGGCCACATGGTGCTGGAACAGCCAGCTGCAGGCAGAGGCTTCGGGGTGGGAGGGGCTTGAGGGTGGGGCAGGCTAGGCTGGCTTTTCTCCTGACTCCTGCCAGCTCCCTCTGGGTCCTACTGCCCCTGGCTCCATCAACTTTCACTAGCAGCTAGGAACAGATAAATATCAATTTTCTAACATTTTTAGGTGCCCCGCAGGCTGGATACAATGGCCTGGTGGACAGCATCCAGCCCGCAGGCCGTATTTTGCCCACCCCGTCCTAGAATATCAGAACTAAAACACTGACTAGACCCCATCCTGATCCAGTTGATCAGGAAGCACAAGGACCTGATGATTCTGTCTGCTGCCTGGTCACTAGCCTGTGCAAGTGGAGTAAAGGGCCAGCTTCTAACAATCATAAGCACTAGCGGTGCACCAATAAAGATTTTCTTAGCCCATACCAATAGCCAATTATTAACCAGCCATGTTGGCTGATACCAATCTGAGAACCAATTAACAGGAGTGCAGCTGGACAATGTGGAGAGCAGCTCCCTGCAGGAAAGTCTGTGGAGGGGAATGGGCATGGGGGAGGGAAGGCATGTGGGGGGCACAGATAGAGGCCCCACAGTGAGGGAGGGAATGGGGCAGGGACAGGCACTGCCCAGTCAGGGCAGTGAATAGGATCCCAGGGCCAGGGTGAGGAATGGGACAGAGCTGCAGGTGGCCCATCCAGGACACCGGGGGGAGAGGGGGAGCTCCCTGCTGCTGCACTACCCCCCCCAGGGGAGGCATATGCCCCCCAGATTTGTGCATGTGGCAGAGGCAGGCTGCCCACTGCAGGCTCAGGGCCAATGCAAGCCTCCTTGCAGTGCAGGGGTCTGGACTTGGAGTGGGGGGGAGTTGGGTGGGCTCAACTGCACAGGGCAGGCAGCAGCACTGGGAGAGGTGGCTATAGGGGGGGTTAAGGTATATTTTTGGGGTACCTATAGCCCCCCCCACAAGCACAGCCCTTGCTTGGGGCAGTCCACTCTGCTGCTTTACCCTAGTGAGCCCCCAGCTGCAGGGCAGGCAAGGGACACACAGGTGACTTGGGTCTCCCAGGGCAAAGGCAACAGACCAGAGTGCCCTGAGCCAAGGCTACCATGGGGGGACTATAGCCACCCTAATATTTGCCTTAGTATGCTCATAGCCACCCCTCCCAGCACTGCTAGCCCCACACAGCTAGGCCTGCCCCACTCCAACCCCTGGCCCCAAGCCCACAGCAGGCAGCTTGCCTCTGGCCCGCATTCAAATCTAGGGGGTCACATACCACCCTCTCATATCTCTCCCCCATCCCCAGCACCCTGGACAAGCTGCCCGTGGCTCCGTGCTGCTCCCCACCCTGGCCCTGGGGTCCCATTCACTGCCCTGGCTGAGCAGCCGGCTGAGCAGCCCCTGCCCCACTCCCTCCCTCACCGTAGGGGACTCAATCTGTCTCCCCATGCCTCTTCCCTTCCAGACTTACCTGCAAGACACTGCTCTCCACACTTCCCAGTTGTGCTCCTGGCCATGTGCACAGCAGCTGTGCCCATGCACATGGTGTCCGGGGGCCCAGCCAGAACACATATTATATTTAAAGTTACACTATCAGCTACACCGGAGAAAAGGCTGATAACGTTAATTTTCCTTTTACTGGTGCCAATCCAATATGCAACCAATGTACTGGTGCACCTCTAATAAGCATATGGTGAAACATTTTCCTGTCATGTGACATGACCGTTCCAGCCTGGGAAGCAAGAGACTAATGCCAAAAAGTAAACAAACATCTCCTTGTTAGCAAAATTAGGATATTTAGTAGCATAGAAATTTCTCTCCCCTCCCTCCAAAAAATCAGTTTAAGACTATTTATTTAAATAAGGAAAAGTTACTTATTTGTTAGAAATGGCTGATAATTAATTCAATCTTATTGTTATTTCACGACTAGTGTTGGGATCTGGTTTTCTGTATAAAAACATAAAACATTAAGTATTTCACCTGTAAGTAGGTGGCAATAGCACCTGCAGCAAACAAACTTGTTTTTTAAATTTTATTAGTATTGTTTCCATATAGACATTGCATATTTTCATTTGTAGCCCATCTGCACTTCAGCTGCTTGCTCTTCTAATATGCATAAAACACAGATTGCCATGTGGCTGTGTCTTTATAAAGACACAAAGATTCTAGTTATGAATAAAAAAATCTTTACAATCCTAAAAATAATGACTTAAGAAAACAAAAAAGCATACATGAGAAACAGTTGGCCTTTAAAATGGCTATAGCATTACAACTTTACCTGGTCCCTTCACCTGGGTGCAGATTTTTACAGTTGGTTTGCCATGTTGTGGATCTTGGCCCTGGCTATAGCCCTGACCAAAAAATGTAAACGTAAAGGATGACCCATCAATCTGCAATACAAAACACAAGTCAATTCATTTCTAAAGCATCCAATTTCTCACCACAGGGAGATATCATGCTTGCTCATTCCCAGACTGGAAGGAAGGGTCACCTCCTTATTGCACCCCTGGTCACAAGCAAATTAAGCTGTTGGGGAGCTTAATAGCACACGCAGTGCTACACTTAGGCAGCTACACTACTTCTCACTCAGGCACAGTAGATGCAGCCGGGGCAGTACTAAAGTAGCACAGATTAACCCTTAGTTTTTCAGTCACTCCTTGTTGCTGGAAGCATGTGTTGTGTCTGGTAAAAGGATTGCAACTGTTTTTGTCTTGCATCAACTTTGCTACAATAATCCATAGCTCTGTGGTCCTCAGGTGGCTATACTCAGCTTAGTGTCAAACACTCAAAAATATGGTTACTTGGTGAATGCACATCCTTTGAGGCAGTTCTTCCGTCCTTACTGGTGCTTTTGGTTTTGTTTCCCCACCATCTTGCCTCCTCCCTTATCCTCTCCACTCAGTGGGGATTCTGGTGTCCTAGCCATCAGAGATATGGGGCAGAAAATTTTCAGCGTTTTATTTTTCCACTGGAAATTTTCCATCTCTAAAAATTCATCATTTCATAAAATTCATTAGTAACAATGAATGGATGCCAATAAAATATTAGGCCAGCTTGGCAGTTTCAAAGCTGTAATTAATATTTTCCAGGTGATTAACCCTAGGAAATGTGTGAGAGTACATATATGTTTTACTGATCTGTAAACAGGAGGGTAAATACACTCGCATAATAATCCAAACCAAAAATCAAGTTATGAATTCACCTAATTGGCTGTACAGATCAAATGAAAACCAAAGCTAAAATTCTTATTTCATCTCAGACTGCAAGTGAAAGCAAAACACACAGAGCAGTGTCTTTCTTCTCTTGAGCAGGGGAAGTTGGAAGTGTTTGCATAAGATCTGTAACTTTTTTTAGTGCTTTTGGTTTGAAGTAGTCATAATAATGCCTAAACAGAAAAAAAAAAAACACTTGTGTGTGGCATCATTATAGCGAAGTTCAAGCCACTAAAGGAAGGAAGAAAGTTGGTAGATGTAAATATTGTGGGCAGGAGTATGCTAACAATACAACAAGAATGAAGAAACATTTAACAATATATAGAAACTGTCCTGAAAGAGTACAAGCCATATACAGAAAGCCAATACAATGAAGTGATGGAACAACATCATTAAAAAAAAAAAAAAAAGTCTACTTCAGGAATCCTATGCAAGTAAACCAATTAATGTGTTAAACACACAGTACAGACTAGCATCTATACTGCTTTAAAACTTTATAATTTTAGAAGTTGTTAATGCAACTCTGGACTATTATTTATTTATTCAAAACATTTGTATACTGCTTTTCTGCTTGCACTAAGCACCCAAAGTGGCTTAGGCTTAACAATCATTTTTTTTTAAATTATCTAACAGATATATAGTTAACTATTTCAACCCAGCAGAGCAAGCTTAGTTCTCTGGCCAATGGCAGAGGCCAGCCTATACTTCCCTTTGGCTCTGCAGTCCCAGGGCAACTGAGCAGCAAACTGAGCAGCACAGTGTTCTTTCTGGCAGGGAGGGTTGGGGGGAAGCAAGCTCCCTGCCTCCTCCTTCTGATGCATGAGGCCAAACTAGAATAGGCTAAAGTAAAAATCTTTAGCCCCCTTTTGATGCAGGAACTTGGTAGCTCAAGTGAAATAGCAGATTTGCAAAAAATGGAAAATGAAAATGTTGTGCTGCCAGCTCTGGGGGAGGCAGCAGCAGGATCCTTGCTTTCAAGATCACTGTCACCAGATAAGCGATCCACCATGAGTAGCCATTCATAACAGTCAAGCTTTTTGTCAAGCTTAGTGGACAAAATTTCAAAAGAAGATCAAGAAAAGGCAGATGAAATATTAGCTTGTGCTATATTTGCAAGTGGTACACCTCTTTCCATAACTGAAAATCAATACTGGAAGGAACATTACAAACTAACTCACCCATCATATAAGTTACCGTCATGTTATTGCTTATCACATTCTCTCTTAGATAAAGACCATGATAGTTCAAACAATGGTTATTCAAAGGATTGGTCAAGCAGAATCAGTGACTTTGATGCCAGATGAATGGACTGATATCCAAGGAAATCCTGTACTGAACATTATGTTAGCAACACCCAAACCAGTATTTCTGAAAGCAATTGCTACCAAATCTTCTTGTCATACAGGTGAATACATAGCCATATTACTTAGCGAAGAGACTGAAAGTGCAGGGCCCTCCAGGGTACAAGCCCTTGTAACTGATAATGCAAGTTACATGAAAGCTGCATGGCAAATATTAAAGGCAAAGTATCCTCATTTAATAGTATTTGGCTGTCTTGCTCATGGGTTGAATCTTCTGGCAAAAGACATAGTCAGTGTGAATACAATGAAGACAATATTGGCAAAGTGCAAAGCAACTGTGAAGGTATTCAACAATCATCATGCTGCTAATCAGACTTTGAAGAAATTACAGAAAGAGAAGCAGGGGAAGGAAAGTGCACTTTTATTGTCACGAGAAACTAGATGAGGCTCAGCTACAAAGTGTTTACATAGTTTGCTGTGCACAAAGAACTGTTTGCAGTGTACTTCAATCTGGGATACTGTGTCATCTATTATTCCCATGAACTTTTCGAAGCAGGTTCTTGACATGGATGTGTTCTGGGTTTGAGTTCAGGGAGCATTCAATTTGGTACTACCAGTTTCAATGGCTATCATGAAACTTGAAGGAGATACACCAAGCCTTTCAAATATTCCAGAGATATTCAGACAGCTGAATGAAAATCTAATTGAGCTTTTGCCTTTTTCACCTCTATCCAAAATAGTAGTAAAATGTTTACTACAAAATCTGAGTTCTACTCTCATCCAGTTTATCTGGCATCAAACTTTCTGAATCCTCAACAAAGAGGACAATATTTATCAGAAGATGAATTATCTACTGATCTCGATACAATTATAGAAGTAGCTAAGAATGTCCCCAACATCGATGAAATAGCCATGATTTCTGACATTTCCAAGTACCAAGCAAAAGAAAAACTTTGGAGCAAAGACATCATTTGGCAGGCAGCAGAGAATAAGTCTACTCTCACATGGTGGAAGGGATACTCTAACACACAACTGCTGTCTGGATTGCTCTAAGGATCCCAAGCATTCCACCAACAGCAGCTTCTTGTGAAATGAACTGGAAGGCTTTCAGCGCAATCAAGGCAAAAAAGAGAAACAGACTAATAGATGAATGCACCACTAAGCTTGTTTCTATTTGTCAAAATATCTTGCTTCTGGAGAATCAGTCAAACACACAATTAGGGAAGAAGATGCAGTGCGATGATAAGTTGCCCTTGCCCATAGACTCATTGGTAAAACCATCCTCTAGCGAAAGAGAATGTGGTTCAAGTAGCTCTGAATCAGATTTTCCTCCATCCGATTCTGAAATGGAACTAATAAGCTGTGCAAGTGATTCTACAGATAGTGATAGGTGATACTGGAGGTGCCACAATGACCTCAGTGGAAAAAGAGTTGAACTGTTGAAGTAGATGAGTGGACAGTCACGGCATATCATGCACAGTTCTGTGGGTGTGCTAAAATTAATGTCGACAGTTTTCAGTGCCTTTATTTTTTTTCTTAAATTTAAACAATGTAAGGGCAGTACATGCTACTGTGTATTGTCTTCACAAGTACTCCAATAAAAACAATTCCTTTCCACATAAAGCTTTGAATTTGTCTGAATACAACATTTAAACCATGTTAAGTGTGCTGTATTTAATTTTTTTTCCTAATCAAATATTTCAGTTCAAATACTTGTGGCTATTGGGACATAAAATTAACATGGGTATTTTTTTAGTTTTGTCTACTAAATACAAGTCAAACAAACATGCTGAATTAGATAGTGCTCCATTTAGGGCATTGGAAAGTTTTCCAGAAAATATTCCCATTCTAAATTTTCTGGAAAACCCACATCTCTGCTGGCCATCCAAATGACTGTACAAACTGATCTGCAGGACACACCTGGACTTGTGATGGTAGCATACTTATTTAATTTTAAGATACTGGAATACTGTTAGGCTTTTGTAAGCAGTGGAAGACTTGACTGATACTTGATGGAAAAAAAAAGAAACAAATATTTAAAATAGGCATTCTATGACTGTGCTCTCATTTTTAAAATATGATCTAAGAATGGAGAAAACACTTTCCAATGACACTAAATGGCAGATTCCAGACTGTGCCTCATCATTATTCTGCAATCAGTGACTTTAGTAAGGTGGAGCAACAATTACCTGTTTCTGTGTTGGTCCTTTCTTTGTGAAAAGGCCTCCAGAAAAAAATTCTGGGTACTAAAAAAGAAAAAGAGCAAAATTAAATTAGGGATGGGGCATGAACACAAGTAAACCACATGTCTGAAGATAACACACTTACTTTTACTAGGAGATTTCTTCCAAAGCTAAACTTCACAAGGAGAAGAAATAGAATGCCAGCAAACATCAGCTTAACAAAAGAGGTCAGACCACCGACAGCTGCATAAGCAGCATATTGCACCTAAGACAATAGCATAAGATATTAATTGTGCAAAATATACACAAATACTTGCATCTTGCCAAGACAAAAAGCTGTCCTACTAGGCTTTTATCCAGATATCGCACAATAGAAAGATGTTAACAATTGTTTTTGAAGTTTTTAATGCCAACCACCTTTTCTGACTAATGCTGCATTTTCAATAGTCACAATAAACAGAAAGAAAACCATTATAAGTTTGTTGTATACCTCCAGAGGAAGGGATATGATAAAAAGGGGAACCGTACAAAGAGGCCTAAAACCAGACATGCAAGTTACTATTGTTTTTCTTCTTTAAACTGCATTTTTTTTGCCTCAAACACAAATTAAACTAATTTTATTTTCCTGGTGATGTTCTGAATATGTATATCGAAATTTCACAAGCATACAGCAAAACACATAAAGTGCAAATTGGGAACAGGACTTCACTGTTCCCATAATCTATTACATTACACAGAACCAAGGGGTAGGACATACCCCAGAGAAAGACTGTACTTAAGTAAGCAAAGCTGGAGGAAACAAAATAAAAAGGAAAAAAATAACTGGAACCCTACTGTCAGCAGGGCTTCCAGGAACAAATGTGGGTACCAAAAAAAATTTAAAAAAATAAATCCATAAACTAACTTCTGACTGAAGATCAATCCTTCTTTCATATAGCATTTTAGGATTACAACATAGATTAATATCTAAATTTGATAACCATTTGACTGTTTCAGGGGTAGCTGCATGGACTGATTTTAGATGGCCATTAAATGATCTAATTGGGCAATTGTTCATAATGTGTTGCACCATCTTAAAAAAAAACCAAACTCCCCCCCCCCCCCAAAAAAAACCCCCCCACCACCACACCAACCACACC